AAATTAAGAAATATTAAAATAAATATGAAAATATTACCTCAGATTCATTTAAATGACATAATTGTATTGCCTTCAAACGTTCATTTTGTTTTGGACTTATAAAAAAATTAATAAGTCTCTTTACACGTGCTATTAAGATTTCAACTGGCATTAAACCTTTATTTACTACAAGATTTAATGTATGAGCTGCACAAGGAATCCAAAATATATTAGGTAAAAGGTTAGAAGCTGCAACCATATTTTTACTATTATCAGTAGTAATACAAATAAATTTTTTTTCTAAACCCATTCAGAAATTAGATTCAATATTGTTTGTGCAATATTTTGACTTGTATGTGAATATTCCATATATTGATATGCTAATATTATTTCTTGTAATTCAAATTCTTTGTTGATAAATAAACATGTAATACCAATATACCCTTGATGATCTCTAGCAGTCCATAGATCTGTTATGATTGAACAGAATTTTATAGTATTATCAAATAAAGTTAGAAGTTTTTGTTTAGAATTATTATATGCTTTGGTAATAAGCTTTTTGATATATTTGTCACTTGAAAGAGTATAATAAGGATCAAGAGTTTTGACTAAATTAATAAAACCTCCATTCTTTAATATATAGAGTGGTTGCATATCATCAATTAAAAATTCTGTTAATGCTTCATCACACTCTTGCTTGTGCTTAAGATTTTTTGCCTACTGTTTTTGAAATATTGCATCAATTTTTGTTTGAATAGGATTATTATTACTTTCTTTTTCAAATCTAAGTATACTATGATGAGCTTCCAAATGAGACCAAAAATTACCAGTTGATCCATCTGTATTAATTATATGTCAACATATGTTTACATCTTTGCTTATTCTAATTTTTACATTACAAGAACCTTTTTGTGTTTAGGTTTTGGTAAATCAAGTTTATTAAAATAATGCCATATATCTGTTTTATCCTCAGCTAAAACTCTTCTTTTTTTCTTTTACTTGTTTCTATACCAACTGTACTATTAGGTTGAGTAGAATCACTAATATTAGCATTGTCTTCATTCTATTATGTAAAACACTAAAATTGTTAAAGTGAAAATAAAAAATTAAAAATGAATAAAGTTTTCGCTAAAAATAAAAAAATCAAAAAAATCAATTATCTATATTGTATTATGAAACACAATTACACAAATCGAAAATTGATTCAAAGAAATACCAGTTTTTTCATTTTTAAATTTACTTATTTAATAAATCTAACTTAATATATTTTTTTATTTGATTTATTGAAATATAAAATATGAAATTAACCTCTTAAACTGAAACCTAATAAAATATTAAGCGAAGAGCTATGACAAATTGGATCATATAATTTGAAATTTCATAATGATACCAACTCCTCATTAAGCTTCAACTTTTTTACGCAATAGAATTTCATTATTACAAGTTAAGGTAGGTAGTAGGTATTTATCAAAAAAAAATATTAATAATAAAATTATATATTAAATTTTCTCGTAATATTTTTTTAAAATAATAAACTTACCAAACGTAAATACCAAATTAGTTCTATTATAATTAGAAATTCACATGATTTAAAACGAATAATAATAATGAAAAAAGCGACTTTAATATTAAAAAATTATACTTACCACCTAATGCAGACAACATCAAAAGCCTGTTCTTAGCTGCTTTAATGGCTTCAGGCCAAATTTCTAATTTCATTGGCAGCAATTTGGTTAATTATATAATATCATTATAAATTTGTTTAGTAATAAAACAAAAGGTATCTGGGTCATATCCATTATTACCATTTTCTATCGTCTCATCATCATCATCATCTTTCCCAGTTAAATTTTGTTTATTAGAAAAATATTGAAAACACCTAATATCATCCTATATAGTATTTGTATCTCAAAATTCTCTTTCGGGTATGAGTCCAGTCCATATGGAATAATTAATACAGGTTTTTAAAATACGTTGTGAACGTTTATTAAGCATTCCTATTAGAAAGATTTTAAAATACATAAATGATAGTCCTACCAATTTGCTTATAAAAAATTGGATTAAGTTCGCAAATACTAACTTTTTCATATACAATTTCTTTTGGTTTCACTTGCATGATTAAAGTTTCGAATTGAATCTGATTAATATCATTAATAAATAATACGAGATTAAATTCGTCTGGTAACTACAGATACGATGGATGTGTTAGAGGAGTTGTTGTAAGACTGCGAAGCAGGTAGAATAGCTGCAGAAGAGTGTGCAAAGGTATCTACAATTCCTGAAATTTGAGGATTTGTCGTTGAAACTTTCATTCTTGTCACTGGCGTCACAATTATTTCTGATGTTACAGCTCCAATTCCGATTCTGGCTGGCTGCACCTAGATAGCAAGACCCATGACAATTGGGGATGTGGCTTTGAACAACGTTATTACTGTTGTTGTTGTTATTGTGTAGAGATTGTATTATTAGTAAGAACATGGCTTGTGGAATTTGTACCGCGTGTTGTTATAATTTGAGGAGTTAACGTATTTTGTATCGTATGAATCGTTGATATGTTAGTATTAGAAATTTGTGGGTTTTCTGGACAGGCTGTTGCATCTTTAAGATATTAAGTTAATAGTGTGAAATTTTTTTGTGAACATAACAGAGATAAACCAAAAAAAATTCTTTGAAAAAAATTTTTAATTAAGAACCCTTTAGAGTTATAATACTTTTCAATATATGAGAATGATACCTTTGGAATTTTCATCTAAATCGTGAACTTCTTGCAACCAGCTGTATCGGTCATCATTCTTTACTATAAAATCTGCAGCACGTTGCTTTATAATAAATAATACTTAGCTAAACTTATTATAATTTGCGTAAAAATCTCAATTGATTTGTACCTTTTTTTCTCGGTATTGCTTATATGAGTTAAAGAAGAGAAGCTTGAGCCACAACGAACAGATGAATTTGAAGCAAATTCCTAAATATAATATGAAAACTAACCATTCACCCACCCATCCCACTATTTGGTCAGTTCAGTGTGCATTCAAAGAAAAAGATCGTTTGTCTTTATTATAACAGTGACTATAATTTTATAATTTAAATCATGATAGATCTCAAAATATTAAAAGTAGGCCAGCGGATAGTAATAGAGTTGAAACAAAATAAAACTGGACAATAGCAGGAATGAATTATTTATTGGCCTGATTAGGTAAATCTATAAATGCTAACTAAATTATCTGCATATTCGATTATCCATAGATATATGTTATCCGCAGATTATCTGCAGATTATTCACAGATTATCTATACAAATTATTTATCTATGAATACTATCTGAAGTAATAAAATGAGTATTCACAATCCGTTATCTGTATGGATACATGGATTGCGAATTCACAGATCCAAATACTACCATTTAGAATGGAATGAAAAATGACATCATATGAATTTGTGTATTTAATGTTAATTCTGATTATCAGTTAAGTTACTTCTTAATGCTCATATTTGTAAGCAAAAAATTGATAAAATGGAATAATAAAAAAAAATGTACTGAAAAGAGGTAAAGAAAAAATATTTTAACAAAAAACAACACTGTTTAGATTTTAATGGTAATTTTTATATAAATAGAGATATAAGAAATAAAAAAAAGAAATAATTTTGAAAAGGAGGTTTTTTATTTTGTTTATAGTTTAAGCTGTGATTGCTTTTGAACAGACACTTTTTTAAAGTAAAAATCTTGGATAAAATTCAATAAAGGGAAAGAGTTTTTTTTCATCAAAATATTTTAATTTTGAAAAGATTTAAAAGTCAAAATAGTCAAAATGATGTCATATCACATGATTTTTCATATATAAAAAATCTATAAAAAAAATATATATATAATTTTAGTTAATATCATTCCGTTTCTTATATGACAACTACTATTTGATCCTTTATAACTAACAGATTTAATAAGCTATATTACATCGATTTTTGATCAGCCAATATCAAAATAATTATAATTGAATTATCAACCAAAACTATAATCAATAAATTTTACTTTAAATAAAGGGTCTGCATTTTAGAAATACAATTACTATTATCTCAAGATTGGCTAATCTAGAATATTAGCTTATTGAATCTATCTAGTCACTAGGAATTGAATATGAATTTTTTAGTATTCAGATTTAGTAATATTTAAAGTTCAAGAATTATAGGGATTTGCATAGCTCTCAAAATCTATGAGTAAATTCCAGTCTTACCATCATGTAAATAAGAAACTGTAACTCCTATTGCTCTATTTAAAGCTCATTTAACCCTATTGATAACCTGCCTAACAGGTATCTTACCAAGTTTAACTATATACATAAAGCTTTCATAAACTTCAAAGTGGCATCTAAGCATTATTAGGTAATTAGCTATATTACTGGATAGAAGAATCATTCTTAACCATAGTAATAGTCTTCACTGTTTTTACTCTATGATTAATATGCTAACTATAACCAAGATTTGAATAATTATTTATGATAATTAATCTTATATGCAAGCATGAATATATTATATCTAATTAGTCAGTTTGACACATTACAAAGTGACCTTACAAAGTTTATGCCCTGAAAGTTATCATATCTGATAAATAACATATAACCTAGGTAACATTAAATGCTATACTAATAAATATCCTAAGAATCAAATTCAGCATTTATCCCTAGCATAGGATTATATCATGATAACTGAAGACAGTGTAAAGATCAGCTAACTGTAATTATAATTATCCACTCTTTTAAGATGACAAATATTTTAACTAGCTATAGTTATATATCTCTACTATTAGATACTACCTAATTAGGTAAGAATACAATGCAAACAATATGATATTATCTATTACAGATAATGTCCTCCTATTAGTCTTTAGTTTAACCTTTATATTACAGATTGTTCTAAGCACAGGGTCACCATATTTTACAAATCCTGATCTATCACATACATAGTTTATACATATCCTATTAAATTTATTCTCAGAATCAAACTGGTAAATCCTATAAATATGATTACGATCTGCTGTAACTATAGGCTGAACTAGGATTTATCATAATATAACCTATGATAAAGTCTCAGTTATTACCAATTGAGATGGGATCACTAGATCCTTCCCTATAAGAAATTGAAATAAGGAAATGATACGTTTTTTATAAGGTTTGTATACGTAATTAATGATTCTATATCAA